TAGCTGTCGCTTGCGTAACACCTGGGCGAGGAGTTTCTGCGCCTTGGAGCGGAAGGGCTCGTTGACAAAGACGGAGAGCCGCAGAAAGTAGTAAAGCTGAGTAGGAGGGAAAGCTGCCGACAGAAGGTCACGCATGGCTTGGAACGATGCACCTGTATTGGATCCCAGCTGATAGAGAATAGAGTAATGGGCCTGAATGTCATCCAGCATGTCGGGACGTAGTTGCCGTTGAAGATCCGGATGTAGTCGTCGTCGAAAGCGTTTGTGCAAGCCGAGGGAAGTGGGAGACGACAACGAGTGACGTCGAAAATCAACGAGGTGTTCCCGGAAGCCCACCTTTCGCAGAAGTCTGTGTACCCAGGGTGCATTCAAATGCGGGCGTAGCAGGTATTGCCATTTGCTTTCCTGGACCCAAACCGAGGAAACGGGAAGTTTGATCTCAACCGGAACAGCACAGAAGAGCCAGTAAGTATTGGATCGCTTCCAGTAGTGAAGCGCGGGTTCGAAGAAGGCATGACGTCTTCGAAGTAGTTGTAGAAATTTGCGACTGCGTGAGTGTTCACGTCGTAGAACATCCTGATCAGTCGCACCAACGTAATAAGGTGTGTGCCATGGGGAAAGTCGGATGTAGACGCACGGTTGTTGATGATGACCTGGATCGTGAATGAAGTCATAGAGGTCCGGAAATCGTGCCCGCAATGAGCGAAGATGTCGCGTGTCGGCAAAAGTGGAGCGCATGATTTCACACAAGAGAGAAGCCTTGTAGAAGTGAAGGACTTCAAAGAACGGCGGAAAGTAGCCATGATCTTGGGAAATGAGACGTTGTAAGAAACTGATCAATAAATAGGCAGTGCACCGACATCTATGAATCTCATACCTGTTGGCCACAGCGTGTTGAGAGTGTGACATAGCGTGATTCGGAATCTGAAGGGCAATCCGGACCACAACTAAGACTTCCAGAATGAGGCCCAACCACGGTAGTTGTGTGATAGATTCGTACTCATCAGCTGGTATCGACGGTGGTGGTAGTCCAGGGAAGCAGTATTGCCAGCACGTAGAGAACATGGTCAACGAGTGTAAAAAGTTGTCCAGAGACTGCCATTGCGCAACATCATCATAGATTCCACAGCGGCGAAGCTCATCCAACATGGTGAAAATGCAACCAATGAAATCTACCATAAGGCGGCGACATGGATACAAGCTGCACAGACACTCACGCACAAGGCAATGCAAGCACAACCAAGTACAAGATCAAACTGATGAAACGCAGAAAGATGACGGACGAGTTTTAACCTTGACTCATCCGTGACACGGTTGCCGCTCCGGGCTCATAAGAGAACGAAGGTCGTTGAGATGCTTGCTCATCCGCTGAGTAGGCGAGCGGTCACGATGAGGTGACTCAATGCCTTCTCAGTGAGCTTGGTGAGATAGCCGGGTTCCAGTCCCCACGAAGCCGCCATCGCCCCGAGAGTAGGTGCGTCGCCTTTCGGCATGCGTTGACGCGCTTGAAGGAGCTGCGTCGCCATGGAATCTAATGACTTGTTGCCGTTGAGCCGGGACGGGTGATTGGCCCACTTGACCAGTGACGTCAAAGTCGTGGTTGTGGGCGATTGCTTGAGATAAAGGCGTGGCTGGTCACTGGTCCATGTGTAGTACTTGACAACTTCTTCCGGCGTGCTGTGCATGGTGAGCAATTGTGACGCCGCCGGCTTGGACGGCGGTGAAGACACTCCGTGAAGAGACTGAATGATCCGGGGTTGCACCGCGCTATCAAACGACTTGCCATCAAGGGCCGCTGCGCTGGCTGTAGGAAGGGAGCTGGCAGGTGACGAGGATGGTGTGTGGTTGACCGGTGGCGGTGTAACCAACTCTGCATCATCTTTCTGGCTTGCCATCGTGGGAGAGGTCGAAGCGCGTAGCGATGCTGAATACTGAGCCTGGAGCAGCTCACGCGCACGATTTAGATCATTGTACTTCTTGACCATGTCATCTGTCTGGGTGGAAGGTGTGAGAGAGGCGTGGTGTTGCTGAAGAAATTGAAGTACCAAGCTGGCCAAATGGTCATGAACCTTGATCCGCTGATTGAAGTCATCGATGTTGAGACCCAGCGAGTTGGCAAGGTCCTTTTCCAGGGTGAGCAGGTTGATCGACTGTGATCGTCGTAGTAGTTTGGAACAGGTACTCCAAAGTAAGGCCTCGGTGCGAGTGCGAAAGCCTTCCCACGTCACGAATCTGCCGTGAGCGAACGGTCGGAGCAGCCAGTTGGTGAGGCCCCCATGAATAACCTGAACCAGGCGAACGTCACGAATATCCATGCCTGACATGTCGCGCAGGTTGCCATGCGGAGTGTTGGCAACGGTCATGGGCAGGCTAAAGTTGTAGAGCTGATTGACATCAAACATGCCATCTCCAGGTGTCCAGTCAGGCGATGGTGTAAGCCAGGCTTTCTGAGGGCGAACCGGTAGAGCCGCAGGAGGTCCAGGTGGCGGTGTGGGTTGCGGAGTAGTGACCGGTGGTGGCATCACGGGTGGCATGAACTTCGTTGGCGTGGGGTCTGGAGGGATCGGCATCATGTAGTTGATCGCTGGGTGTTGGAGTTGCTGTGTGGGACTGTGAGTCGATTGAAAATTGGTGGGCATCATCGGGAAATTGTTGGCAGAGTTGTAGCCGGAATTGTGTTGCCAAGATACCAGGTTGTTCCAATCCATGCCTTCAGAGACGTGGTGGTCATTGTGTTCACGTCGGTGTGCTTTACGAGCCTGAGGAGAAGTACTCCGATCACGTCTGCGCCGAGTCCTGGATCTATCACGATCATCACGTCGAGACATGGTTACACAATCGACTCTCAATCTTCACGCTTCCATCTTGAGAGACACGTATCAGACAACAAGCAAATCCATGCAACGGCAAGGTATCAACGAATCCAACAAATGGCAAGCAAACATCGATGGTGAGACGTCTCTATGATCTGACCGCTGTCTTCCCTTTAGTGAGACCTCGTTCCTGGTTAAATGTGAAATTCCGCTGTTCTATGATAAGCACGTTGAGGTCAAATTTTCCGACAGAGCCGGCCCGGGGTCACACAATGGGTACACCCGAGGATTCCCCACGAATGGGGTGTACACACTTAAACTCCAGATGGAGAGTGCTAATCTTTCGAGTACAACTGATGAGTCTCGAGTACAACTGATGAGTCTCGAGTGGGTGTGGGTTCGGCTCGCAATGCACTCGGTTTCACTCTAGTGTCGAAAACGTTACCAGTTCCAACATGAAGCACACACAGCGAGCGAAAGGAGAGGGCCAAAAGGACTTTCATCAACATCACTTCACAAACGCAGGTACACACGGGTGATCAATCCGTGCATCCACCATCAAGCATAGCTTCGTTGGCCAGCGTTTGCTTGATGGCCGCTGGCCCCCTGCTGAGAAACCGAAAGGGTGGTGACAGGGCATTCTGTCACTCCGCACACACACACACACACACACACACACACACACACACACACACACACACACACACACACACACACACACACACACACACACACACACACACGCACGCACACACAAGCACACACACACACACAAGCACACAGAAACACACACGCACAAACACACACACAAACACACACAAACACAAACAAACACACACAAACACACACACAAACACACACACACACACACACACTCACACACAAACACACACACAAACACACACAAACACACACACACACACACACACACACAAGCACACAGAAACACACACACACACACACAAACACACACAAACACACAGAAATACAAACATTCAAAAGCAAGGGACACAATCAATTGTTCGCCAAGAGGATTGCATGTTGTCTGGTTTTGGCCAGGAATGCTAGGCAGCCCGTCAGGTGCCCCACAAGTAATGGTCTGTCTCCGCTCTGTTCAAACACTACCCGGCAAAGTTTCGTAGATGAATCAGGTCAATATTTCAGCCAAGCGAAAGTGCTCAATCTGCGCCTCTGAGCTTGCTTCGTACTATGCAAGACAATGGCTACTTCATGTGCGCAAGAACACAGCCTATGCGTGTGTGGACCATTAGGGAGTTGGAATGTTGGCCAGCATGTGGCATTCTGCCAAGTCGACTGCGGTTGTCGATTGCATGTGTACATGTGCTTTTTGGCCGTATGAGGCAATAGGTGTGATGCAATTCTGAGACAGGCATGCACCACAATCGTGACTGTCAAAGCATGGGCTCTCCTAGGTGTTTACCCGTATGCTTGGTTCATTGAGCTCTAGCGGGAAATGAAGAAAGTCTCTTAGCTTACAGGATGGCACGCAACTCTGCCTCACCTGTGTAGGCAAGTCAGTCAGTTGCATTTGTAGAATAAGCTCTTTGATGCAAGACCTGGTGTTTGCAGACATGCAGTTCACCCAGAGAAGACAAAAGATGAAGGCCCGGTTCATTTATGACAGCGCTCACTCATACCTTGTTTCAACTATTGGTCTTCTTTCTAAGTCGATCTTCTGCGGCTTGGCAATCTCTCGTGGACGAAAAACAACGTTACTGTTTTACCATTGCTGCAACCATGTTGCAACACGCTCAAGGCACGCCAATGACTCATGTGTTGCATTCCGCACGCGTCTCGAACGCAAAATGTGACACTGGGTAGGTAGGAAAAAAGGAAGCACGCGACGTTTGTTGTGTCTTCTCGTAGTAAAAAGAGAGGCTCGCGACCTTTGCCTTAGGACCCGCTTCTCGAGGTGTTGTGAGTGCTCTGCTATCTTTTCTTACCGGGAAGCTCGACCTTTGTCGGGTCTTCAATGAAACTTCATGTTTGCGATTGAGGTGTTTGTCATGTCTCACAGCTGCTCCGTACTCTGTGGGTTGAGTCTAAGGCTTGCTGAAACAACTTTTGGAGGGCAATCATCAAATGATAAAACAAACAACCAGGCAATGATCTCAGGCAAAGATATCGTAGTCTTGGCTTCCCCCATCACTTCATGCCCTTGACCGCCTGCGTCTCGGGATGCTTCGGCGTGTAGCCCTCTAGCTGATCCGCATCCGAGTTCTGCCAATGGAAAGAATGCAGGGCAATATTGAAGAGCCGGAGCCAGGTCCAATGATGTTATGTCAAAGCAACACATTATTTTTTATGGCAACATGCTGAACAGCCTGCCTTTGGCATGAGGTTGAGGCCGCACTCCCGAAGCTCGTTCAGCAGAGTTGCCGGGCCTTGCAAGCAAGCGATTCTGCTAGACAAAAGGAACAGCACTCAAAGCTGTCTACTATCGCACGTCGTCGTGCGACATGTAAGTCCACGCATGTCAAAGTATGCGTAGCCCACTTGCAATGCAGTGCACCAAGACTTGGGAGCCGTGCTGCGCACGCGCGGCCTCCTACCGCTAGGCCCACTCAATCCACCTGCCTTCGCATGCAAAATGCTATCACAATCGGCTGGATTGAAGCGAGCGGTCAGCAAATGCTACTTGATGCGTGCGCCTCTCCGCTTCCAGGCTCGAACCTGGCCATTGCTAAAGCGTGCAACCGACTGTTGCGTGCTTTGATGTTTTCTGGCTCCATTCCATGCCAAGGAGCATCACATCCAGAAGCTCAGGTAGCTGAGGCCCTTTGAGCCTAGTCAAACATGTCAAGTCTCAAAGAACGTTGATTGGGCGCAATATTAAGGAGAAATCGACAAACTGAAGCTGAGCTCGGAAAGAACTTATTCTCAAGCCTCAGCCCATCTTCCGAGATCATGAAGCGTAGCTCGTACCTGGCTGCCTGTGCATTGAGTGCGCAAGTTGGCACAAAGTGCATTCATAACACGTCCACGTTCACCCCGCCTGGACAGTGAGCTCCACCACCATGTCATCGCATGGCCTGACAGTGCAAATGCTCTCCCGAATCGCTATCAAGCTTGGAGTCCGCCGACCCATTGACAGCCGTGTTAACCCTGCAACGTAAGGCATGCTGTAGGATGCTCGGGTTTGGGGAAGTTTGAGGGAACGGGGAACTGCTTGATTGCCATGACTAACCCTAGCCTATAACTCGGATCTCCAACTCTGACTCTAGTCTCTATTGCAATTCTAACCTGTAACTCTTGCTTTCAACTCTAAAGCCTAACTCCAACCTCTGACTCTCACCTCTGACCTTGACATCTAACTATAACTTTACCTGAACCCCTCACTCTAATCTCAAGATAACGTCTTACTCTAGATAACTCTGACTTTTGAAACTAACCTCTTTCTGTGACCTCCAACCTCTAAAGCTAACGTCTAACTCTAAGCTCTATATTTCATCTCTAACTACTACAGGTAGATCACCAAGCGAATATCAAACTGCAAGAAGTCCGTCTGAAAACACCGTCATACTACTGAGAGACTACAGGATTACAGGATGAGTATGGGAAGACTACAAAAAAACTACAAGACTACTGGACGACTACAGGAAGTAATTTCCGAAGACTGACAACGGACTGCAAACCTACTACAAACTACAGAGAAACAAGACTACAGAACAACTACGGGAAGACGAATAGGAGGATTCAAGACTACAGCTATACTACAACAGGAAGACTATGGGAAGACTGCAAGATTGAAAGACTACCACCAGTTGGAAGACTGGCTACAAGGATACCAGAGGCCTAAAGCCGCATGGGGCACGCTTCGCGCCTCATGTTCCAGTGCTTGTACGGGAGATCGATGTGTCGCTCCTCAAAACGTAGCAGTGTGCCCACGGAGGTGATAGATGTTGCTGCGCGCAAAGCAACACGCTGATAAGGCCTGGGTGATGGAGAAAGAAGCCAGTCGCGCAGTAAAGAACGAAATCTTCCGTGACTCCTGCAGGCAGAATAAGAATGTTATCAAGTTGCCGATGAGTTCCAGAGGCAGACTGTCCGGATCATTGTGTCAACAAAAGCAAAGGCTCCAATGTCAGTGACAAGCTTGCTGAACGAGGCATGTGCATCAGTGCAGCGCTGCTTGTGAAAAGAAGGTTCGCAAGCGTGCGAAAAACATCAATGAACCAGTCCTGCTCCCATGTGATTTCAGTGATGCCTTCAGTAGACCATCTTTCCACTGATGCCTTTGGGCCGGAAATATGTACAAATGCTCACCGGAGTGATAGTCTGAGTTGCCCATCAATGACCGGTACCACGTGTTTGATGCATAAGCCCTGCGCATCCCACCAGGAGACGACTGGAACTTTGCTCACCAGCACGTGTGCTGGCACCTTCAGAGGGAAAAGGGCTGCGTGAGTGCCTGATCTCATGGACCCATCTAAAATTTGTCGGTGCAGGCCTTGTAGTCGATCTTGCACGGAGCTGCAATGGCAGTGCTGGCCTGTTGACAGCTTATTGCAAGGGCTCCATGGCCCAGTTGGAAGAGCACACTTCATGCTCACACGCAACATGTACATGCTGTAGTGGGTCCCCGCACTGTTGTATGCTCGGTGTTGGGGTAGGGAAGCTTCATTAGCTCCTGGGAGGTTCGAGTTACAACCTCTCTGCTTTTGACAAGTCATGACTCCAATCGAAATTGGCGCGTCCATTTCGAATGCTCCTTGCCCGGAGCAGGGACTGCTCGAATGGTCCATCCCTTGACCTTCTTGCTGAAGGGCGGGATGGACAGCAAGTCTACCTCAAGCTGAGCAGTTTCGGTGTGAGGCAAGCACTTCTGGAAATGAGCCTCGGACCCGAATCATCCCTCCGATGGACATCTGAACTGGATCTTTTCCCTGTGCACTGTCGAAGGTGGTATACAGCGAGCGCACCTTGGGTTCAAAACGACTGAAGCGAACGATCAAACCAGCACTCACCTCAGGCGCGCAAAGCCCGAGACGGCAACTTGAGACAAATGTTGTCCCGCCACACACTGCTGGAACTGCAAACTAAAGGGAAGTTGAGACACAGCGGGCGGGGACATGGCGGTCGCTACCAAGGTACCCCAATACAGTGCCCAATGGACTGAAGCTGGATCGCTTTGGGCAGGTCCAGTCCTGAAAGCCCCGAGCATCCACCAGCCATCAACTTCCATCAACACATGGGGAGTCAGACAGGGTCAAGGGGTCTCATCATCTGAGACTTTGGGTGTCCTATCTGGATCTTGCTGTGCTCGATGGACTTGGCGCGGAAGCCCTTGCTTTGCAAATGACCCCAGAAGCCAACCTGAGCTGCCAGAGTTTAGGTCAAAGCCTGGAATGCCTGGAATGAAGTTGACAAGGCCTTCATCTCGTCGTTGGCGTTCCCCCATTGAAGGTAGACCTTGCGCACAGTGTTCACTTGCCATCCAGGCATCCACGGTGCACGGGGCACGGGGGCCTGCAAGTGGGTGTTGGGTTCCTGCTTCTCGATGTACAACAACCTGTGCAGCTGTCTGCCGTCTGGTGCAACTGGTGATGCGAATCTCGCTTGCACAGACAGCCACCAAGTAAGCCCGCAACAGGTGAGCGGTTGCTGCATCGATAAGTTCAACTTCCAAATCTCGAATCTCGCCGAGGTAGTGCATGCACCTCATGTGGAAAATGTGTCCAAGTACTCAAGATGACTGGACCGCTGAGCGAATCACCATTCCTGTCTAATGACATCGCCTTCCTCGCAAGCCTTGCAGTAAAGCTCAAGGAGGTCGTTGACCTTGGCTTTCCTCTCAATGTCTGTCAATGCAAAGTTGATCCTTGGATGCATTCTATTACGTCGATTTGACTTGCTTTGACATCCAGGCAAAATGTTTGCTCAGGATCCACAGCGCTGAATCATGCCTCAGATTTGAAAAATGACCGAGTGTCCGGCAACCTCCTCAGCAGCCTTACACTTCTCGATCGCTGTCTCCATGGATTCGCGGTCCGACCTTTCCTCACCTGCAAGAGGACAGCAATTGCATTGCCCGCTCTGAACACTTCGCCAGCTCTTCCAGGGCTTCGACGTACCATTGTGACATAGGTCGTGATCTCGCTTTCATACCTTCAGCTTGGCAGCTGTGTCGCCACGCAGCTTCTTCGCGTGGCCCACACGCGTCTTTGTTCAGGCCCCCACATGACGTTGGGCCGTGATGTGCAGGACACAAACTTCTGCCATTCAATTTTCTCCTGCAACTTCGACCTAGGCAAGTTTCGAAGCACTCAAAGCAAAATGCGTCTATTGCATCATCCAAAAGAACTGGGTTACAAGCTGCTCGTAGTCCAGGCACCGCTTCCGTTCGCCCTTCATTCCTAGGCACGCAGCTGTGCACAGGGCACTGCTGCCAGAAAAGTATGACGGCCGGACGGGCTACCACTTCTTGTTCTTCCTGGAATCCGAAAATTGCAACCCAGCGAAACTCGGAAAAGGCGGCCTCCAATCTTTCCGCTTCAAGGACACGATTCTTGCCCTCAAGCTCGATCTCCAATCTCTCTCGATGCGCCGCGAGAGCATCCTCCATGCCAGGGATGTGTTGCTTTCCAGGCTGAATACAATGGTAAGAAAACATCCTCTGCCCATTTGCCCTGCCTCCTCTAGCTTGAAGAGACGCTCCTTCTCCTCATGCCGTTTTTGCTCCTCTGCCGCCTTCTGCAGCTCGTCCTGGCAAAAATCGGTCCAGCTACTTCGTGAGTGCACGTTGCTCAACAACGCCTCCAGCTGCTTCTTGGACTTCTTTTTTGTTTTTGGCATGACTGCAACTACTCTGACCTACTCTTCAGCATGCGTGGACGGTGTGTCTGGTCTGTTGCAAATTTGTGTGAAGGCCATGACGCCTAAGTGAAATGTTGGCAAGCATTTCGAATTGAATGTCTATCAGCACTGCAACCAAAAAAAACCTGAACATCATTGGATGCAAAGGTGTCAATGTTCATTGCCACAAGCTGCACAAAGCACGTGATGGCAATCAATCTGCGCATCCCGTTACTTTTCCCGTCTTGCCCCGTGTCTGATTTCACTTGGAATGTCAGGCCCGACTCTCGAAACAGGCTGGTCGTTGAGTTGTTTACGACACGATGAAACAAGCTTGGGCGGTCAATAACTTTGTCCTGGCTGCGTGTGCTTACAGGATTCGCAAGCAAACTACGCAGCCGGGTTATGGTGAAACCGCGAAGCTTTGTGAGACGCGACACAAGTTCCAAGCAATGCGGCTGCCAAGGTTCAAGCAGCGGACATCAGGTACAACAAGCTCAATGAATGCTGTGAACTAAAATGGTCAAGCACTGTGGATGTTACATCTGCATCTGCATCTTCTTTCAGGTTTTGATGTGCTCTGTGAGTGGACAACTCCTGTGCCTCCATCACTCCATCGAGCCTGCGCGGCGCATGCTCCCGCTAGATGGTCGCCTCAGTCAGCATAGCCAAACTGTGACCAATTCATTCTTCAAGCCTCAACTCTTGAAGGATCTGGGCACAAACCCTCGTACCCACGCAGTGCATGCCTTTTTGACCAACTGTAGTTTCAAAAGTGGTTTACGCCTGCTGCGCCTTGGTAGCGAGGGCGAGGGTCATAAGGCATCCAGCAAAAGCGCTTTCCTAGCGAACCCTCTGTCAAATGGAGGCCATGCTAGGCGGCCCATGCCTGCAATTGCTGTTCAACTTCAGAAATGTCGAGATAGCTTAACAATCACAGTTTGGCACGCATGATCTCACCCTTCACCTTCTTGCGAGCCTCATGCAATGTGTACTCGGTGTAGCCGTTGGGCGCTAGCCTGCCAGCCAGGACCAGCTTGAGGGATGCCTGAAAGGCAACACTTTCATCTGGGTTCACAGACATGGGGAGGTAGCCAGGCTCTCGAGCGTTCTGCTGGTCCACAAGCTTTGCCATCTCGTGGAAAGTCTCTCGCACCTGCGCCTCTGACACGAGGCCGTGATGCAACCAGTTCGCCATCAACTGTGACGAGATTCGGAGGGTTGCTCTGTCTTCCATCAGACCAACATTGGCCAAATCCGGAACCTTTGAACAGCCAACTCCGAGGTCAATCCAGCGGACGACATATCCGAGAATGCTTTGGGCATTCTCCTTGAGCTCATGGGCAATCTCTTCATCTGTCAGCTTCTCCTTGAGAAGCGGAGGTTCCAGCAGGAGCTCGATCTTTGCGGGTGGCCGCATAGCCAACTGCATCTGGCGCTCCGGCACGTTGCAGTAGTGATAGTGAATGCTGTGCAAGGTGCCTGCGGCTGGGGATGGCACCCAAGCCGTGCTTGCACCTGCCATGAGCTCTGCAATCTTGCCTTCAAGCATGTCCTTCATGCTGTCAGGCTTGGCCCACATGCCCTTGCCAATCTGTGCGCGGCCTTGCAGTCCGCAGTGCAGCCCAATGTCGACGTTGCCTGCCTCGTAGGATTGGATCCAATTCTGCTTCTTCATGTCTCCCTTTCTAACCACAGCCCCTGCAAGCATGCATGTGTGGATCTCATCTCCCGTCCGGTCAAGGAAGCCGGTGTTGATGAAGAACACACGTTCCGCTGCTTGGCGGATACATTCTCTCAGGTTGGCGCTGGTGCGGCGCTCTTCGTCCATGATGCCCATCTTGATTGTGTTGCGACGCAGCCCGAAGAACTCTTCAGCACGGCCAAATAGGCGGCTTGTCAAAGCAATCTCTTCTGGGCCATGTTGCTTCGGCTTCACAATGTAGACGGAACCTTGACGGCTATTCATGAGACGACCTGTCGCCCGCAGATCTTGCAAGGCCGCGGCAGTTGTCACCAAGCAGTCCACGAAGCCCTCAGGGACCTGCTTGCCATCTTTGGTCAGGACCATATCGGTAAACATGTGGTGGCCAACGTTCCTCACCAAGGCCAAGCATCTGCCTGGAATGGTGCAAACATTGCCTTTCTCATCCCGATACCAAACATCTGGATTCATCCTTCGAGTCAATGCCTTGCCGTCCTTCACGAATGGGGCTTCCAAGGTGCCTTTGAAGATGCCGCAAATGTTGTTGTAGATCTTGCACTTGTCGGCAGCATCAACAGCAGAAACGGAATCCTCCATGTCCAAGATGGCAGTCAGGGCGCTCTCCGCGGTGATGTCCTTGATGCCGCTCAAAGCTGCTTTGCCAATGGGGTGGTTCCTGTCAATTTCCAAGATGAGATGCAGCCCGTTATGCAACAGGAAGATTCGGCCCTGGTCAGGCACAGACGGGGAAGATGACTTGGGTGCGACGTCAGCATCTGGAGGACCCAGGTTGCCTTGCGAGCCAACAAAAAGGGATGGGCACTTCAAACTGGTGGTCGTGCCGTCCTTCAGGAGGAGCTCCAGCCTCTGTACCGAGCCCACAAATCTGGGCCACAGCCTGCAAACGTCAGACCACTTGCCTGTGGTCAAGGGTGCAATTTCATCAAGGAAGCCATTGGCGAAGTCAACGACAGCCTCGCCTCTGAGTGGGTTGTAGCCACTTGACCCTTTGCCTGCATTGACTTCCACTCCACTGCTGGTCACAGCATAAGCTGGGATCACATCAAAGCCGTAGAGCGCGTCGTACAAGGAGCCCCAGCGTGAGTTGACCGCATTCAAGACGTAGCGGGCGTTGTCTGACGGTACTACCAGCTGTGGTGCTGGCACCCTGGCAATCTCGTCGTCCACGAAGGAGGTCGTGACCTGCACCGGCCCCTTGTCCTCGCAAAGGTACCCGATGTCCTTGAGGAATTGGCGGCAGGCCGGCCTGAACTCTGCCTGGGTCAGGTCAGCTCCCCGCTTCTTGCCTTCTTCATACCAGGAATCGATCTTGGCTTGCAACTCATCACGTCTGGCTAAGCATCTCTCGAGCTCGGGACGCAATTCTGTGGTCACGTGCTCCAGGCACGTGAAGAAGTAAGTAGAGCTGAAGCCAGTGCCTTGACACACCGTTTCCTCGATGGTTTTGTGAAGAAGCGGATGGACTCGAAGGCATCCAATGGCTACATATTCTGAAGGCACTGGGCCCTGGGGTGTTGAACTCAAGGTGCTCATCGGCAAAAAGCTTGTAAACCTGTACAATAAAGCCGCTGAGAGCACAAATGCGCTTGTCTGTGCCTTTGAGCAAAACAGCTTTTGAAAGAAACCAAGTGATGCCAGTGGCTGCCGTTCTCGAAGACTGCTGACAGAATCTGAGCTGTGCTTGTATTGGCAAGATTGTCTCAAATGCAAGAGTGGCTGACGCTTCAAGGATGCACATGCCAAGACCAGTGCTTTTGGATTGGCTTGTTGCTGCTGCTTCGGCCCGGAGCGGGAGCAGGACCAGGGGTATTGCCGAGCCTCAGGAAAAAGTGCAGCGCGCGTGATAAAGAAACATGGCCATGCTGGCCATTCTAGATATAGGGTATGGGCGGAGGCAATCCCATGTTCATCCCAGGAGCTCCTGACCTTATCAGCCCGCTGACTTCTTTGCAACGTCTCCCATGGCTTTGCGCCCAACCAATCCGAGCCTCTGGCTGCACTACTCGCATTTGCGGGCCAGTAGGCTTCTTCGCAGTTGGGTTCATGATGCCAACCGTCGGTGCGGCACCGAAGACCTCGATAAGTGGCAGGTGTCAAGGTCTGCAGCATCAATTACACTATCAAGTAGACTTGCCTTGTTGTAGTTCTGTTCCCGGTTGACCAGTTCCAACTTGTAGAACTGCATGTCATCCAGAAGCCTATGCATGGTGCAAAGATGTAGGAACAAGCTGATTGCAGAGTGTGTCTTCCTGAGTGCTCCACTTCTTAATCTGGGCGGCTTTCGTTTCCACATCGGTTTCTAGTTGGGCGATAAGCTGCAAATCCTCCCATGTGCATGCTGC